GGGCCGCAGGTCGGATTCGAACCCTGGGTCGTCAGCTCTTCCCACTGAGCTAACCGGGTGCCCAGGGTTTCTACTCTTTTTAAGAAATTGTTTTCCAGGAGTTTTTCTTGATAATGCAAGACAGCATTTTCTCACAAATAATCCACCAGTAGGCCTAGTATTGACAGATTTAATCCCATTTAACCTCCTCCTAACAGCCTGTAAGCAACAGTACAGAAAATACAGTTTCTAGAATGTGAATTGTGCGTGTATTTATCCACCACAACAACCAATGTTAATGTGATTTATAGGCTGTATGCATGTAGATATGTCCGTCTACAGCGTTTCCATTGAGCGATGGGCATCTCTGAGAATTTTGCTCCCGGACTTGACACCGAAAAGATCATTGCAAGTCTTCTGTCACTTAAGCAGCTTAATCTACCCGAAGCAAAGTTTTAAGCCAATTATGCACCACTGTTTATGTAGGCAATCTGAGTGAGGGGCTACCTCGGGCTAAATCTCATTAGAGGCTCTTATTTAGAATCTCTTATGAACCTTTGATTCACATCACATGGTCTTCCTCAGCATGTGAAGTTTGTGCAGTTTAGTGATGGGAATTGATCAGATTTTATTGATACCAATGGCAATAACGATTGTGCTTTTTGGTCTGATTCTTTCTTGATTCCCTTATGTAGAGTAGTTTGAGTTTCTTTGTGAAATGAGGCCCCACTTTGGACCGTTTCTTCCTCTCCACACTGACTCCTTCTAGCTGCTAGTTTCCAGCAGTATAGACACAAGTTTTACATTGTTTTGCAATGTGAAACTGTCAGAAAAACATGCAGGCGTTGATAAAAGGAATTGATCAGCTTGTGAGATACGATTCCAATGGATCGGACAATTTGTTACGGTTCTGGATTCCCATCCCTAGTCCAGCTGTCACATATTTGTAGATGATCACGTTCTCATTTTTCAGAGCACTTTAGGGACTTCTCTTCCATTTTGGCTGACTCATGATGGGGTAGTTTTAGTTGCTTTAACCTTGTGAAGCCCCTTTTACACTCTTCTTATAT